TTGGAAATGGAAGGCTTGGACAGCACAGGCTTGATTGCCTAGCCTCAGTTTCTCTGGCCCCTAAGAGGAGAGAAGTGGTGAGAAGCAGTGAGGGGAAGAGGTGGATGGGAACTAAGTTCCACCTTTGTCCCTGTAGCCACTCACTAGAGCGTGGTGTGTTGCCTGGCACTGCCTACTCCCCTCTCTCCTGAACACCCCACAGTCCCTGGAGAGTGATGGCTCTGACCACAGGACCATGCACCCTTGCCTCCTCCCCTGCCTGCTGTGGTCAGCCTCCTCTCTGCTTCACGAACTCCTACTCAGCCCCTAAGACCTTCCGTTTATTGCCCTGCCCATCAGCCCGTTGTATCTCCCAGACTCTCTTCTCTCCTGCCAGACTGTGTTCCTCTGTTTATGGCCCTTTGAGGGTCCTTTGCTGTTCTTAAACGCCATGCCCAGCATCCCCCTGCTGTGGGGAGAGCGTCGCATAGAGCAGGGTGGGACCGGAGGTTGTCTTGCTACCCAGGCCTGTCAATGTGCAAGTCAGTTGTCTAATGAAAGCCTATTAGAAAAGCCATACTCTGTTCACTCCTGGGGAATCTTTGAATGCTTCTGTGGCCTGTGATAGGCCCTCCCTTCCTTCCTCCCTTCCTTCCTCCCTCCCTCCCTCCCTCCCTCCCTTCATCCCTCCCTTCCTTCCTCCTTCCTTCTGTGTGTGTTCATGTGAGTGCAAATGTGTGTGCATGCATGCATGCACATGCAAGTGTACCTGCACATGGAGGTCAGAGGTCAACCACCTCAGGTACCATTCACTCTTCATTTTTATTTTCTTTTGAGACAGTGTCTCACTGGTCTGGAGCTCCCTGATTCAGCTAGGCTGTCTGCCCCCCAAACCTCAGGGATCCTCCTGTCTCTGCCTCCCCAGCATTGTGCTTAGCTTCTTACGTGGGTTAAGGGGATCCCAACCCAGATCTTCATGCTCACATGGTGCGTGTTACCAACTAAGCCGTCTCCCGCTGTGACATTTCTTTAAATGGCTAGTTGACTCCTTCAGGGACCTCTGCCATCTCCATCCAGGCCATGTGGCCTGGCCCTCAGCTCCCAGCACTGGCTTCAATGCCTCCCCGTCACAAGAAGCTTCCTACCTCTGACAGCTCAGTGGTCAGAGCTGTCAACTGGTCCCAGGGAGCTGAGCTAGCACCTGGCTTCGGCCCCTGCGCTCTGTGGGTGGAGTCTGTCCTCCAAACCAGGCCTTGGAGCTCCCTGCGGGGGCCCACCATCTGCACACCTCATCCACACGCCGGGAAATGCCGGGGCTGTGGAGACCGATTGCAGTTCAGGCAACTGGAAAGTGCTAGGGGACAGCACTGGACAGGTCAGCCACAGGCCCACCTGAGAACCCAGCTTCAGGGACAGGATGGGGGCACCCATGCCAACGGCTGCCGTGATGTGAGCAAGACAAACCGTCAGGAGTTGGTGGCCCAGAGGTCACCTGCAACAGAGACAGGAGACATCACTCTCTAAGATCCAGGGTGGAAATACCTGGAAAAAGATGAAGTCAAGAGACAGATGGAAACATGGGCCACCCTTTTGAGAAAGTCTGCTTTGAAGGGCAGGACGAGCTGAGTAGGGAAGGGGTACACAGATTGCGTGCGTTGCTTATTTCAGTGGGAGATTACAGGATTTGGTCCAATGGTCATTGGCTCCACTTCTGACATTAGGTATCCATATGTGGGCAGAGGAACCCTGACACTGAATGGGGAGACCGGGTCTGGTGCCGGGCTGCAACTCCCTCGTGCAGGGTCTGTGCACTGCCTTCCACCCTGGAGTCTGTGGATTGATGAGTGAATTACTAAGCACAGGGTGAAAGGGGAAATGATGAGGAGGGGTTGCAGGGGGAGGTGAGGACCAGGGGAATGGATGAATTATGGAATGAGGGAATGGATGAATGGCGGAGCTTGGCAGGAGAGCTTGGGTTAGAGGTGGTACACCATCCTGGGCCATCAAAACCCATTGAGGCAGTTTGGCCTGTTCCCTTGGTAACCACTCCCCATAGCGTTCCATGCATGGCCTCAGTACTCTGCACCCAGACCCATGGTATGCGCCCTGTCTTCCACCTAATTCTGTGCCTGTGGCTCTGGGTGCCATTGGGCCAACCCTCTCAACCTGTCTGGGCCACTTCACAGTGTGACCCAGGATGTTTTAGGAGATTGATTAAGGCAACTCCATGTAGTTAAAAGGGAGGTTTATTTTGGGGTAACTTACAACAAGTAAAGGGATAGATAGGTTGCAAGCTCTGGGAGAGGTGAAGTGCAGTCCATCAGGGTTCTCTGGAGAACTCTGTTCGGTCTACCATCCAGCATCCAGGATCACCAGGAGCCAAGAGAGCTGGCACATCCGGATCTCAGTTCTTAAGGGCTCCCGTCTCAGCCCCGCCTCAGGGGCAGGTCATAGGTAGGCGTGGCATTTACCGGAAGCCTTACAAGTACTTCCAGGTCAAAGCTGGAACAGCTACCTACTACAAGGATGAGTCTTTCTTTTGGGGCCTCAGTTTCCCCGATCTGTAAAGCTAAGTATGGAAGGAGAATTTAGGAGCCCACAAGGCTGAGGTTGTGGGGTTCCCTGTGAAGCAGAGGCTACATGAGAGGTGGGTCTGTCTTTTCATGCTTGAGGAGCTGCTGGCCATGGCAGAGGGAACATCTGTGGATTCCTACCCTGACCTGCACTGAAGATCTCTGCACTGTTGACAAGCCTAGGTGTGGGGTGGCAGAAGGCTGGGGGTGGGGAGCAGGCGGATACAGAGGACTAGACCATGGCTGGAGTCAGGGGCCCTTGTATTCTGCATTCCCACTGTCATACTGGGAGGCTCAGTGCAATGGGGGTGATGGGGAGCAGGGGCTGGTTTCCACACTATGAGTCGTACCACAAATGACTAGACAGCCGTGCAGGGGGCGACATGGTGACGAGGGAGTATGAAAGAGGTAAGAGGGGACAACAGGGGACCTCAGGGTCCCCACATAGCCTGTCCCATGTGTCTAGGTGAGCATGCACATGCAAACCCATACCCAGGAGGATACAGAAATGCAAATGTCCGTACACACACCTGCAACCGGGTGCGTAGGAGGCTGGCGCACTGCGGGAGACACCACGGCGCCTCTTTGGGCCTGTAATCCTGCTTAACTCGACTTTCAGTTATTTTGAGCAAGAGATTACAGCTGATTAAGATCTCTCACCAGGCGCCACCCCTCCCGGAGGCTGGGACAGAAAGGCCCTGCCCACCCAGGTCAGTGTCCTCAAGGCCAACTCCACTGGCCTTTCTCTGGCTTGAACTCTCCTGTGGTTATCAGTTCAGGCTTCAAGGCGTCGTGGATAAACTGTACCACCACGGTGCACTTGACATTGGTGTCAAAACCCAGGACGAGGAGCCCAAAGGAATCCCCGGGCCCTCCTGGCCAAGGATCATGCCACTCTGATGTCCTATGTCCCCTTTTCAGCTCCAGATTGTAAGGTCCAAGGAGACCCGAGGCTGCTGAACTCCAAGGCAGTGCCTGAGTTCCTCTGGGCGTCCAATCTGTGCTGTTCATCTTTCTCCGTTAGAAATGGATTCCCTCGGGAGCCAGGTCCCATTTATGAAGTTTGCAAAGAGGAGAGAAATATATATATATATTCCTCCTCATTTTAGCCGCCTCAGTTCAGCCTAGTTGCTGCTGTCAATATTGGTGAAATACACTCAGCTGGCTGCTGGCCAGGCCACTGAGCAGTGACCAAGGCTGCTGTAAATCCCTGTATTAACAAGCAAATACCCATTTCTCCATCCTGCAAGTGGGCAGAAGGGACCAGAGTATAAAGGACCCCAGTTCTCCCGTGAGGTTTCTTCCCATCACCCCACAGTTCTAGTCTCATGCACTCTGGGCTCTGGGGACTGGGGGAGGCACAGTCCTGGTCCTGGGGTGTGCATGGCTGGGGGGGGGGGTCATGGGTAGGTGAGGCTGCTTGTATGCATGGCGGATGGAGCGAGGTGGGCATGGCCCTGGGAAGTGGAGGATGCTGTTGTTAAGCCTGGAGAGGATTTTTTTTTAATTAAAGAAATTGTTTTACATTTCTCTATTAATTGTGTGTGCTGGGGGGTGATGGTCGGAGGACACCTTGCAGGAGTCGGTTCTCTCCTTCCACCACGTGGGTCCTGGGGATCGAACTCAGGTCCTCAGGCTTGGCAGTAGTCACATTGATTTGCTGAGCCGTCCTTCTCCCTCAAGAAGGAGGACTTCTTGGCAACGTGGGTTGTCACTCCTCCACGGCTGTGCGGGGACAGCGTCGAGTCCCGGGTGCTGTCTACATAGATGGCCTCAGAGATCAGCCAGCTGATTCATCTGGAGAAACTGAGGCCCAGAGGGAGGTGGCTTGCTGGGCCATGTGGTGGGAGATTTCACTCTGAGCTCTACCAGTTTCAAGCCCTGGCTGTGCCGGGCCGCTTTCCCCGCCTGCCTCCTTGAGGGCAGAAGAAGAACTAATCCGCCTCGGGCTGGGAACATTGGCTGGGTGTCCAGCACCTCCTGCAGGCGGTTCTGAAGGTGCTGTGGCTGGCCCTTCTCGGGGAGAAGTGACATCCAAGCACTCCAGGTGGCAGGCGTGGTGCCAGTAAGTCAATGAGATGGATGTCCTGCCCTTATCCAGCCTTACCGCTCGTTGCCGGATGAACTCTGAGTCCCTTCTCTAGGCTGCTCCCCTGTGGATCCAAGGCTATGCTCACTGAACTGTACCACCCATCACAATACCTCTGAGCTGGCCACCCAGGGGACATCATGTCCACCTTGCCCATGAAGAAATGACCAAAGTGATGTCTGTTTTCCTTGGTGATCCCGGACTCTTTCAGCCCAGCCCCATGATCTGGGACAAGTATCAGGGTTTTCGTTTTACAGCAGACACGGGTGGACGGCTCTGCCGAATCCTTCAGACAGGCACCCAGTGACCTTGGACGTGAGCTTTTTCTGTGACTTACTCTCTTTTCTCTTGTTTTGCAGCAGAGAGTACTTCAGGCAGAGGAGCTGGGAGAAGCCGCCAGGACGCACAGGCCCATGGGAAAGCAGGCCGTGGTCACCTCAGGACCGGGGAGGACGACGTGGGGTGGCGGGCAGTGAGGGAGCTGTCCTCCCTCCCAGCACTTGCGCCATGCAGCTTGGGACAGGACACCTCGGACAGTACAGGCAGTGACCCATCCCACCCCTAAGTCCCCTGGGGGGGCACTGCCCAGCCCTCCACCCTGTCCCCACAGGCAGAGTGTCCCGAGATGGCTGGGCATGGGTGGGGTGCACCATGGGTGCTTGTGGCAGCCGCCACATTACTGCACGCGGGCGGGCTGGCCCAAGGTGACTGCTGGCTGATCGAGGGTGACAAGGGCTTCGTGTGGCTGGCCATCTGCAGCCAGAACCAGCCGCCCTATGAGGCCATCCCCCAGCAGATCAACAACACCATCGTGGACCTGCGGCTTAACGAGAACCGCATCCGCAGTGTGCAGTATGCCTCCCTGAGCCGCTTTGGGAACCTCACATACCTCAACCTCACCAAGAATGAGATAGGCTACATCGAGGACGGGGCCTTCTCCGGCCAGTTCAACCTCCAGGTGCTGCAGCTGGGTTACAATCGGCTGCGCAACCTTACGGAGGGCATGCTGCGGGGCCTGAGCAAGCTTGAGTACCTGTACCTGCAAGCCAACCTCATCGAGGTGGTGATGGCCAGCGCCTTCTGGGAGTGTCCCAACATCATCAACATAGATCTCTCCATGAACCGTATCCAGCAGCTGGGCAGCGGCACCTTCGCCGGCCTGACCAAGCTCTCGGTGTGTGAAATTTACAGCAACCCTTTCTACTGCTCCTGTGAGCTGCTGGGCTTCCTGCGCTGGCTGGCCGCCTTCACCAATGCCACGCAGACCCACGACCGGGTACAGTGTGAGTCACCTCCAGTCTACGCCGGCTACTTCCTGCTGGGCCAGGGCCGCCATGGCCACCAGCGTAGCATCCTCAGCAAACTGCAGTCTGTGTGTACTGAGGACTCCTACACAGCTGAGGTGCTTGGCCCACCTCGCCCAGTGCCAGGCCGGTCCCAGCCAGGACATTCACCACCACCACCTCCACCGGAGCCTAGCGACATGCCCTGTGTTGATGATGAGTGCTTCTCTGGTGACGGCACTACGCCGCTGGTGGTCCTCACTACCCTGGCCACTCAGATGGAGGCCCGTCCCTCCATGAAAGTCAAGCAGCTGACCCAAAACTCGGCCACCATCATGGTGCAGCTGCCGAGCCCGTTCAACCGCATGTACACGCTGGAGCAGTACAACAACAGCAAATCGTTCACCGTGTCCAAGCTGACCCAGCCTCAGGAGGAGATCCGCCTCACCAACCTCTACACCCTCACCAACTACACATACTGCGTGGTCTCCACCAGCTCTGGCACCCATCACAACCACACCTGCCTTACCATCTGCCTGCCCAAACCGCCCAGCCCACCTGGCCCCGTGCCCAGCCCCTCCACAGCCACCCACTACATCATGACCATCCTGGGCTGCCTCTTCGGCATGGTGCTGGTTCTGGGCGCCGTCTACTACTGCCTGCGCAAGCGGAGGCGGCAAGAGGAGAAGCATAAGAAGGCGGTGGCGGCAGCGGCTGGCAGCCTGAAAAAGACCATCATTGAACTTAAGTATGGGCCTGAGATTGAGGCGCCTGGGCTAGCCCCGCTGACCCAGGGCCCGCTGCTGGGTCCCGAGGCTGTGACTCGAATACCCTACCTGCCAGCCACCACCAGTGATGTGGAGCAGTACAAGCTGGTGGAGAGCAGCGAGACCCCTAAAGCCACCAAGGGGAACTACATTGAAGTGCGCACAGGGGAGCCGCCAGAACGCAGAAGCTGCGAGCTGAGCCGGCCCGGCCAGGAAACCCAGCACTCAGTGACGGAGATCTCCACCATCGCCAAGGAGGTGGATCGGGTCAACCAGATCATTAACAATTGCATCGACGCACTCAAGTCTGAGTCCACTTCCTTCCAGGGCACCAAACCCGGGGCCGCGCCTGCCGCTGAGCCGCAGCTGGTACTGCTGTCCGAGCCTCTGGCTAGCAAGCACAGCTTCCTGTCCCCTGTATACAAAGATGCCTTTGGCCACGGTGGCCTGCAGCGGCACCACAGCGTGGAGGCTGCGCCCGGGCCCCCCAGGGCCAGCACTTCATCCAGCGGTTCTGCACGTAGCCCTCGCTCCTTCCGGGCTGAGGCCACCGGCACACATAAGGCCCCAGCCACTGAGACCAAGTACATTGAAAAAAGCTCACCTGTGCCCGAGACCATCCTCACTGTGACACCCGCGGCCACCGTGCTGCGGGCTGAGGCCGACAAGGGTCGCCAGTATGGCGAGCATCGGCACTCGTACCCCGGCTCCCACCCGGCTGAGCCACCTGCTCCGCCACCACCTCCACCCACTCATGAGGGGCTCGGGGGCCGCAAGGCGTCCATCCTGGAGCCTCTGACCCGGCCACGACCCCGAGACCTCGTCTACTCGCAGCTGTCCCCGCAGTACCATAACCTGAGCTATTCCTCCAGCCCCGAGTACACCTGCAGGGCGTCCCCGAGCATCTGGGAGCGCCTCAGACTGAGCCGTCGGAGGCACAAGGATGACGCAGAGTTCATGGCGGCTGGCCACGCCCTGCGCAAGAAGGTCCAGTTTGCCAAAGATGAGGACCTGCATGACATCCTAGACTACTGGAAAGGTGTGTCCGCCCAGCACAAGTCCTGAATCTCCCTCCATCCCTCGGCAGGGCCCAAGGCAACCCGGCCCTGTCCTCTCCGAAACTCGTGATGCTCAGTGGACCAAAAAGGATAGACCATCCGCAGCAGCCAGCCCTGACTGAGACTCAACACTAAGCCCAACATACGTGCACAAAACAAGGGGCTGCGGGGCTCAGCGCCTGGCCTGCAGGGACAGCATGAGGAGGCCGCAGGTGGCCGGGACAGTAGATAGACTAACTTTCATGTAAACTGTACTGTGCCTGCTGCCTGGTGCAAGCAAGCAAGCAAGCCACACACACACACACACACACACACATGCACACGCACACGCACAGGCACACACAAATACACCCACACACATTACACACAGCACAAGCATGCACACATGCACAAACACACACACACACACGCATGCATACACTCACACACATGCACATGCATATACATGCACACACACACACACACACACACACACACACACACACACACGGGACTTCGGAAAACTGTGTCTTACGGGTGGGGGTGGGGGAGGGGGGATTTTTTCCATTATCTTTCCTGTTTTGAGTCTTCTCTTCCTTTTCTCTCTTTCTTCTCTCTTTCCTCTTTCCTTTCTTCCTTTTTAAAAAAATATATATATAAAAGTGAAATTCTTTAAAAAAAAAAAAAAAGACCTAAATCACCTATCATGGGGAGGGGGCGTGACCAAGTGTGGCCAGCTTCATGGCACGCCCTAAATAAGATCTCCCAGTCTGCGGAGTGCAGAGGGGTGGAGCTGAGACCGATGGACCTCCTGACTCTGGCAGTCTCCTGAGGCTGTGGGACCCCAGCAGGGGGACGGAGACTGTGCCTGGGGGCAGGACAGGGTGGTAAGAGGGGTGCAGGCTGGGAAGCATTGTGAGGTCCCTCCCACCCCAGTCCCATCTCCATTGTACACTGTAGCTATTGTATTGTACAGAAAAAAAAATCTATATTTGCAAAGTTTGCTGTAAAATGAGAGAGAAAAAAGACTATGTCTACTAAAAAAAAACTGCAAAGGAAAAAAAATCCAAATCCATGTGTTCTGTGGGTTTTTACTGGCGGTGGGATGGTGGTTCGGGGTCTCAGCTAGGCATGTGGTTGTGGACAGTGGCTCTGATGGGCTCAGCAGGAGCCCCCGGGGGAAGGTTGGGGGCTCGCACTGGGCAGGGAAGTGTCCAGTCTCGGGGAGGGTGGGAAGCAGTGTGGGTGGGGTGGGAATAAGAGGCGGAGGAGGCTGAGCAGGGTTGTGGGGACACCAGGGCCCGTGTGCAGGCCTGGTGGCTGAGGGTGGGGACAGCCTGGAATAAACAGAGGGTCCTCTGAGCTGGTGGCGATGGTGGGGTTGCTGTGAGGTCAGAGGGTGTGTTTGTGGGGGAGTCCTTCCATACCCAGAGCCCCACCCACATGGAGAGAGACCCCTCCCTGCCCTGCACCAGGAAGCCAACCTTCATCTTCCTGCAGCTGGCCCCACCCTGCCATACCTTCCCTGTTTCTTGACCACGCTGTGTCTCACGTGGCCTTCTCTGGGGGGTCCATCCTCAAGGGATGAGCAGTGGATCTTCCTAAGTTTTTCAGTTTCTGGAGCTGGTAGGGGGAAGTCCCACTCCAAGGCTAGCCTCAGTACTTCCTGTAATTGAGACCTTGTCAAGGACCACCCATCTGCAAACCTCTAGCCCAATGCCAGCACAATAGCACCAGGGGCCCTGTGGTCACCCCCACCCAACGCTGCTCTCTTCCAGAGAGGTTCAGTGCTGTGGAGGAAAAGGACACCCTGTTCCTTCATACCCATGGAAACTTGAGGCCCTTCTCGTACCTGGGCAGTCAGGAGGCATAGCTCCCAATCAATATTCCCAACGGTTTTGAGGACCTTCTCTTCATCTCCTTAGAGGCCCTAGTCACTGAGGGGTCCCCACTCAGGGCAAACAACTCCTAATATGGTCTGCTGACAAGGACCCAGTAAGATGCCAATATCCTGGATCCAGCAAGGTGCCTGGGGACTTGAGTATGGAGCCACAGTTATAAAAAGAGGTAGATGTGGTGTCTGATGAGCTGTGGGGAATAGGCCTAGGTCCCAGCCTAGCTGGAGATGAGGCCTGAGGGGGCGGGGGCTGAGGCCAGGGGCAGGCAGCCCTGGAATAGCAGTCTCTGCTTACATACTCCCGGGGACACGAGGCTCATCTCTTTCCTCCAGCTTTAGGCATCTTCCTGAGACCCACACAGTCCCGGGGGCCAGTTCAGAGCTACACACAGAGCCCATGCTGGATTCCTAACCAGGGTGCACTTGACAGGCATCCCACCAGCGAACCCTCTAAATGGGTCCCCCTCAAGGATTACATGTCCTGTCCTTTCTTATCCAGCCTAACAGGCATCAACCAGCTCAACTCCTTCCCAGCTCTGTACCTTCCTGAGTACCAAGAGAGGATCCATCTGTGGTCCAGAGACAGTGGTCACATCCAGAGAGGAATGTAGGATCCAGAGCTGGTGGTAGGGGCCCAGAGAAGGGCCTTCTCTTCCCAGGGGCACATAGCCACTCACTGACTGTTCTGGTTACGGGACAGAGGGAGGTGGCCAGGCCTGCTCAACATACTCCTTGTCACCAAGGAGGCAAAATAGCTATTTATAGGGGACCAGGACAGACAGAACAAAGGGACCAGCCTCGAAGGCCAGGCAGCTGGCCAGGCAGTGCATGTGTGTGAAGGGACAGGACAGAGAGAGCTGGCGCCAAGATGGGGTATAATGGGAGAATCACAAGTCTGGAGAGGGACTAGGGCAGAGGGGCAAAGGCAGGAGAGGCCGGCAGGATGCTCAGCTCCAGAGCCCAGGCAGCAGCTCCTAGACTCCCAGGGCCTCCTGGAGCCCATGGAGTCAATTCTGCATCTGGTGTGAGCTGATGACAAAGACCCCCACACCACCACATCCTTATTAGAGCATGGTCACTAAGGCTCCAGGAGAAGACCTACACATTAAAAATATTTTTATATTTATTTTTATGTGTATAAACGTTTAGCCTGTCTGTTTGTACGTGCACCATGTGCATGCCTGGTACCTGTGCAGGCCAGAAGAGGGCGTCAGATCCCCTGGAACTGGAATTGTGGATGGTTATGAGCCACTATGTGGGTATTCAGAATCAAACCTGGGTCCTCTCGAAGAACAGCCAGCGCTCTGAATTGCTGAGCCATCTCTCCAGCTCTGACCCACACATTTATCAAGTGCCCACTGTGTGCAAAACTCTGTGCCCAGCTGAGCTTGGGAACATGTGGACTGGCAGCTACGTGCCATGGAAGAAAGCAGGCAGCTCAGAGGTGCGCAGGGATGTATGGAAGACAGTGGGAAAGCCGGGGGTGGGGAGTGGGGGCTCCTGGAAGTGGTGGGACTTGGCTTGGAGAAGGAGAAAGAAGAGGGAGGGCAGGCCCTCCGTGAGTGGGGTCTGAGCTGAGTTTGGAGTAGGGATGTGGGAACTCTGCCCATGGCCCCTGCTTTGTGGTTTCCCCGGGGGGAAAGGAAGTTCTGGAAACTGGAATCAGGGGCTCTGTGACTGTTCCTGCACCAAGTCCCAGCCATCTCCTCCTGTTACCAGGACAGTCTCACCTGTTTGTCTCTGCCACCAAAGCAGCACACAGGGCAGCTGCAGGTGGCTGGAATGGATGAGAGGACTCTGGGGGACAAAGCCTACTCCACATGCCTGTTAGCGTCCACAACCCGGCCCCGCGAGAGTGACCCTGGGTTACATCAGCCATAGGTGTCTGTTCCGTATGGTGCAGAGAATGATCTGGGAAAAGCCAGACTTTTGTTTGAATGAGTGTATTTACTAAATATATAGGAATCCAACGTGTGTGTGTGTGTGTGTGTGTGTGTGTGTGTGTGTGTGTGTGTGTGAGAGAGAGAGAGAGAGAGAGAGAGAGAGAGAGAGAGAGAGAGTCAAATCAGGGACTTAAAACCCAACCCCTGTCCCATTGACAGCTGGGGCTTCCCACAGAGAGCAGAGCTCACCCTCAGACTGACACCAACCAGAGGCTTCCACGGAACAAACAGCAGCAGATAAAGATCACCTCTTCCAACAGGGCCTCAGGACATCCAGCAGACACCGACTGGGGAAGTTGAGGCAGTTGGCTGGAGTCCAGGCTGAGCTTCTTTCCTGTTACGCCCACGTTCACACCACGGGATGAACACTATTGAGATGGTTCCAGCTGTTTTCGAGGGTGTGACCTTTTCACTCCTGGGCTGTTTTGCTGTCCTCTCCTCCCTGACACAGAGTTAGAGGGACCAGCCCATCCCCAGACAAGGGGTCTTGGAGGACACATGGAGACAGCCATGTTTGGGTCTGAAGGGTAGGGTACAGCCCACTTCTGAGCCAGCTTCTCAGTGAGCTCAGACAGCAGGTGACGATTCATCAATATAGTATACAGTGCATGCCCTGTCGGCCTGAGCAGGCCAATGCCATGGAGAGTGACAGGTCACTTCCTAGAGGACAGGCTTGGGGGAGAACTGGGCATCAGATAGAGATCCCCCCACAAGGGAAGAGTGCAAAAGCAGAACTCATTCATTAGGTCACTCATTCATTTATTCAAAGTGCAATGATAGGACATCTACCTTGTGCCCAGCTCTGGGAAACATCAATGAACGCTACTCCCATTCCTGAGGGTGCAGCAACCCTGGTTGTAGGAAGAGTGTAGGGGACCACAGGGAAGGTGAACTTCACAAAGAGAAAGAGACAGGCCCAGGGGACCCTGGAGAGGGACCGTGGGGGTGGATCACAGCTGGCAGGATGGGGAATCACCTACTCCCTTGTTCTCTTCCCATCTCTCCCCCATCACCCTCTGAGCTCCTCAGTAGCTGTGTGGCATGACAGTGGGGGTCAGGAGACCCTGGCACCAATGTTCAGTGTCAGAGAGGCAAAGCATGCAAAGAACGGTCCAGCCTTGATGCCAACATGCCAGCCAGGATGGTGGCAGAGAAAGCCACCGTCTCCTCTGGACAGGGACACTCTTCAAGGGAGATGCTCATGTGAGGCCTTGAAGGACAGCCAGGAGCTGGCAGCATGGAGGCGGGAGGTGGGGCCAGAGAAAGGGGATGGACCCCCCAGGGCACACCCAGCGGGGAGGCGGGTGGGAGGCAGGCTGTCACTGCAGTTAGAAACTGGGGCAGGCCGTCAGCTGGGCTGGGCAGCCTTCTTTGCAAGTGTGAAGAAATCCGAGTGAGCTGCGAACCCCAGGGAGCCTGCGATGGTATTTTATAAAGCATAATAAGTTTTATTGATTCTTCTTATCTCAGAAGTAATCCTTTTATTACATAAGCCTGAGAACACAGCTGAACATGAAGAAAACAGAGCTCACAGTGTCACTCCACCCAGCGAGAACCATGGAAATTTGAGGTCTACTCAAGACCACTGGGATCCTCTGCCTCCCTTCTTAGGGGTTCTCTCTCTTCCCTGGCAGAGTGGGGTGCCCTGTGCAAAGGCGGGGGCATGGCAAGGAAGTAGGTGTGGGCAATGTGTACGGGAGGGCGGAGAGTCAGTGTCACAGGGGGCTCCTGGAGAGGGTGGTTCTATTCAGCACCACGGACAGCTCCCGTCACTCGGAAGTCCTGGCACATGCCAGGTTCTCTGGAACCCCCAACTCTGTCACGACTACTCTCTCGGCCTTATTGCTTTACTTCCCAAAATTTGTGTGTGGTGTGTGAGTGTGTCTATGTGCATGCGATTGTGTGTGTGTGTGTGTGTGTGTGTGTGTGTGTGCACAGATGTGTGTGAATGTGAGTGCCTGTGTGAGTGTGTGTGTATGTTTGAGGTTGCATCCCAGAGGTCAACATCAAGTGTCATCCTTGATCACTCTCCACTGTAATTTTGAGACAGGGTCTCTCACTGAACCTGGAACACATCGATTTGATTAGACCAGCTGGCCAGCGAGCCCCAGAGATCCTCCTGTCTCCACCTGTCCAGTACCAGGACTGTAAGTGTGCCCCATCATGCCCAGTTTCTATGGGGGTTCTGGGGACCTGAACTCAGGTCCTCATGCTTAGCAG